AAGACATCTAATAGGAGTTGAGATACGCAACGCATACGTTGGATGATTTATGCTAGATTGGTCCGAGTACTGAATGTATTTGTGTCCCAAGTTGTGAAGCATGGGTGTTCACATATGGTTTGATAAATTGGGATTAACCTTTGCCAACGGAAACAACTTTCTCCGTTAACATTTTGGAATTATTTAATTTGGCACTGTTTGTGTGCATCTGCTGTGAGAAGAGGAGTGTTTATATTCCTATCAGTGCACCCACAAATATAAGAATAATCCATCCACCATATGGGCAGATGAGATAATACAAGGATGGATTTCACAAACATTTTCTGTGAAGGAACAAAGGGAATGAAACTTAATAAATAAAGCTGGAGAAGATACCATAAGGCTCAGTGACATCGCCTGAAATAAATGAAATCTCTCTCTTTTTTCACATCACACCCGAGTCGAAAAAAAAGAAGTAAATATTCACTTTCACTAGATTTAATTTATTCTTTAATAAATAAAGATGTCTCCTGGAAATTAGAAAGTCCCCTCCAGGTGTGTCTGCGACAACCAATGCTGCATTTTGTGATTAAATTCACACCACCCCCAATTGGCTCAGCCCTCATCTAGAATATCCAAGAGCATCAGACTCGACTTTCACCTGCACCTCTTGCACAACAGATTGGCTTTCATTCTATTCGTTGCATATGCCTGCACCGGCTCTGTGTAGGCTAGCTTTTCAGCTCTGTGTTACACCCTTAACCAAACGTGAAGCCTTTATTTAGGCTCCACGGCTTCTTCTTTTTTCACAACACGAGTGTAAATTGACACTGCGTAAAAAGACCTGGATTAACTGTTGCTCGCTGCAGGTGGCTTAAACACCAAAAATAATATGCAGTTTGCTGCAGCAGAATGCAAAATTTGCCAGTGACCGATTTTTATTCATGCACCATGCTTTCTTGTTTCTGTTCCATGATCATTTACATATTGAACTAAATCTGTGTTGAAATACACAAGAGCAGAGCTAGTGACGTTGGCAACACCTGATTTATTCCGTTCTTTGCATGGTCTTAGATAGCCTTTTTGTCTTTGAGCTCTTTCTCCATATCTTTGGATACTAAAATATTTTTTAATTAAACCCAGTTTTCCTTGGCCTACTGGAATGTCAGAATGTGCCCCTTTCTCTGTCTATTGCGCAATCCCCGATTAACATCTCTTTTGTCTACATAACTTCTTTCTGATGGGAGTTAAACAAATTATTACTAAATCTAACAGGCTGTACTATAAACCCTTCAAAATGTGCTTTCTTCCCTCTACTTTTCAGTATGCTGATGTTATAGAAGTCAGTTTTAAAAATGTAGATATAATTAAACTTTTAGATTTGATCAATGGCGTTAGTCTATTATGATAAATCAAAGTACAACAACGCGTTCAACATTTAAAGTCATTTAAAGTGTTATCATAACGTGGTGAATACACTTTGGAGAAATGTGAATACACACACTTGTTTTCACGGTAATATAACACAGATAGAGAAATAATGAATACCTGTTCAAGCACTTACAATATTTAGAAATAATGAAACTATAATATATAAATAAAACTGAATTCCAATTTTCCTTTTACAATAAATAATAATATTTTCCACCTGTCTTCATGCAAATATCCACAGTAGATGACAATAGCAAAGTAAAAGGATTACGTTTAGAACTTTACCGATCTGTGACTGAAAACCACGATTGAAGCTGGACCGAGATCTACGTGATCCATTTGCACTTAGACACACAACCCTAAAAAGTACATCAAACTGGAAAAGACAGTTAGCAGGAGCATAAAGAATACAAAGCACATGAAGCAGTAATTACTCGGGTTACATTTTAATTACATATATGCATTGTGCCCAGTATCCGAAGTGTGTTTTTGTGCGTGTCTGTGTGTGTGTGCATTCTGTCAGGAGTCTTATCTTACACTCATACTAACACACTCCTTGGCTGCAGCACAATAACAGCTCCCCACCACCTGCTGTTGCGTCAGAACAGAGAGGCCGTGTGCGACACAGTTTGATCATACAACTTGTTCGACGCTTCAATCCTTAAATAGAATTTGACTTTACTTTTGTAGTCGTCACCAGTTTGGACTATTCTCAAATTTTCCCTTCTGAAGAAAAGGATGCAACCAGCGCCCGGTTAGCTGAGCTTAGCTTAGCATAAAGACAGGAAAAGATGAAACAGCTCACCTCGCTGTGTCCGAAGATGAGCTGCAACTGACAATCGTTTTCATTGTTGAATAATCCGTTGTCTTCTTGAATAATCATTGTATAGTTAGTTAGTCATTTGGTCTCTAGAACGTCCAAAAATGGTGAACCATCTTGTTCAGTGTTTCCAAAAGCCCAACGTGAGGTCCTCAAATGTTGTGTTTTGTCATAGAGTCAAAAAAACAGACAATATTTAAAATGAAGGAGCTGGAAACAGTTTACCCCGGTTTTAATTTTTCTGCCTTTGTTGTAGCTTTTTATTTGACCAACATGAAAACAGACATGTTTCACAAAGGGATTGAAAGTAAGGAACTAAGGGGACCAACACCAGGATAATATCAGCTCATCCAGCCACTGTCCCTCTGACCCCAAAATGATAGATAATGTTTAGCCATCAACCTCCAGTAATCACTGGCACCACAGTTAATGATAGTCAGGACTGCAGAGGATCGAGTGCTGAAACGTACCGGAGGGAGTGAAGAGAGGTGTTCACAAATGGAAGGGCTGAAATTAGGCGGCGACACAGAGGGAGAGGGAGGATTAAAAAGAACGAGAAAGGGGAAAGTAAAGAAAATTAACTGTAGATTTAAAAAAGACCTGTGCTAACAATGAAGCATCTTCCTCCTCGCTGTCAGCCCACGGTCCTGCCCAATAGTTCTACTTTCTTTAGGGAGAAATATAAAGAGATTTATTGATGGCCACTCTAACTCGAGGCTTTAGAGACTTAACAAAGATAACAATGAAAGCAGCCTCTTATTCATCAGCAGCAGCAGCCGTCCGTTAGACCGCACACAGGGGCCGGACACAATGGCAGGTAGGAAGAACACGGTAACAGCTGCTGTGTTTACACAATATGTCCGAGCCCTGAATGGGCCACGGGAAACATGAAAGATGGTGCTTAATGTTAATGGACTGTGGCTGGCCATCGGTGTGATCAGAGAGACATTCAGAGGTCCTCTGAGTGGTTATTCTGCCTTGATGCTTTTCATCCAGTGGGGAAATGTATGTGTGCAGTTCAACCCCCCTCTCGTCTTTTTTTTGCCCAAACAGGAATCTCTGGAAATGTATTTATTGATTCTTATGACAACCCCTTTCTTATTCTTCCATTAGCTGTCTAAATATCATCAACCTCCCCTCTCAATTACAATGCCACTTGTTGTATTAAATATAAATGAAGTGTGCAATTGATTACAAAATACTGGGAACTCATTGCAGCGTGACTGACTCCCTTTTGTAAGCAGGGGGACAAAGATGGGCCTGATTTGTTTTGGATGAATAGTTTTCTATGAAATTTCTGAACGCAGTATACAGTATGTCCTCAGTATGCCCCTGGTGTTTAGTTTCACCTTGTGACTGCTATTCTTGTCCGTCAATTCTCTTTACACAATATGTGTTTTCCGTGTGTATGATCTTCTTGGCCCCTGTCCAAACCCCTCATACTTAACACAGTCAACACAATCATTCTATTGTCGATCATGTGTTCACTCTCTTTTTTATTTTGTTATGATTATCTTATCTGGCTCCTAAGCTGCTAAATGCTCCACAATCTTCAGCAGCTATACTATATATTTGTCTGCTGCTTGGTCTTAGCAGATAATTGTGTAGATTATCCTTTTTTTTCTTCCTTATTGTTGTTTTGCCTCAAATCATTCACGGGCACTGTGTCTTGTATGTATGTTGTGTGTTTGTGTGTTGTGTGTGTGTGTGTGTGTGTGTGTGTGTGTGTGTGTGTGTGTGTGTGTGTGTGTGTGTGTTTGTCTAAACACAGGATCCTCCCGCTTGGCCTTGTGACTTTGTCACTGCAGCGGAAAAATTATGCCACACTCCAACAGCTGTTCAGTCAGAATTGTACGGCCATCAACATTCCAGCTAGGAATACTCCGCTTCAGCCCTTTGCCTTTTCTCTCATGGCCGGCGGATGGAAAAATGTGGCATTGATAAAAGCAGTTAACTCCTGAGCTTGTTTACACTTACCCATTGGCTTTGCTTTTTTTCCCCTATCCAATTTCTCTGTCCGTCATTCCTTGCTTTTTGTGGCTGGATCGGATAGGAAGTCACAAGTCAGCGTCCCAGGGAGTCCTCATCCCCTTTTTTCCACTTGCTTAACGCAGCTATCATTAGTTTGCTCTGTTTGTGTGTGGGGCAGTGGAGTCCGACATGACCCCTCGGCATTCCAGCACAGTGGCATAAGTCACCATCAAGGCCGTATCGATTTCCCCGCGGCTCGGAAATAGGCCTACGAGCAGTCGGAAATCTCCGTCCTGGACCGGTCTCACTCTTAATGCGTGTCGCTTTCCAAATGTACGGAAAATAGCTGCAGCGTGATGATCCGGCCCGCCGAAGGAGCCAACATGGACATTGTCTTTAGGCCAAGTGGGGCGTTGAATGTTGGGAGAAAGATGTCGGTGTTTATGTGCCATAGTGGGGCCGGGGTGCAGGCTCCCTGGCTGCTGCTGCTTCTAGAGTTACTATTGTTGTACCGCTTGGTCCTGACCCGACACCCTGACTTTTCCACGATGCTGCGCACAGCTCATAATACCCCCTGCTTTCTTTTACAACTGTGTAAGGACCACTCCTGAAATCAGTAATCCTGCTATTTTCCCTTCTTTTTTTATAGCAGCTGTAAATTCAAGAGTCTGTTGCTATAGCAATGTTTCGATGTCAGCATGATCTCCTCCTCTTGCCTTAATTGTCTCACTGTATTTGATAAAACAATTGATCTAACATTGAGCTTCTCTTTCTGTCTTGTCTCCTGTCTGCCTTTCAGTACCGGATTGGCCAGCTGTATATGATCAGTAAACACAGTCATGAACAAAGTGAGCGTGGGGAGGGGGTGGAGGTGGTCCAGAACGAGCCGTACGAGGACCCTGAGCACGGATCAGGCCAGTTCACCGAGAAGCGAATCTACCTCAACAAGTGAGTGTCTTCCTCCTGCCATGCAACATATGTGCAATAGTAATAATGAAATTATTGACAATGTTGAGAAATGTGGTTTTATACTACATCAATCCCACTAAGAGAAACCTGTCTTTTATTGTCTAGCTCCATAGCAACTTTGTATCCCATTTCAAAATATTCTTTAAAAATTGTTTACACTATGCATGTATAAACAAGTATTTTTACTCTTTTACTCTGAAGGGCAGCACGGTGGAGTGGTGGTAAGCACAGTCGCCTCACAGCAAGGAGGTCCGGGGCTCTGAAACCATCTGTGTGGAGTTTTCATCTTCTCCCCGAGGCCGTGTCCCCTTGAATAAGCAAGGGCACGATGTAGTTGGGTGTCCCTTTTCATCTCTCCAAGCTTTTCTTCTCCTATGCCTTGTTAAACTAGAGGAATTGATTATTTTTCTGTTGAAGACATTGTAGAATGTTGTACAAAATATAGATTAAATAAAATGTATATATAAATCAAACCGTACAATAGGTCCTTAAAACGACTTGGCTTTTTTCTAAGTATTTTCCTTTGGGCTACAGAGCAATGGTGCCTTGGCACTATTATACTCAAATTAAAGGGCGGTGCGCACTGATAAGATGGAGCCCACATTGATCAGATCAAATACTGTTGTCACATTCAACTGGGTCACTGATTCCCAAAAGTAACACAATGAGATCGAGATGAAAAGAAAGCGACATGGAGCAAACCGAAGTGAGAGGCAGAGAAGGGAAGGTTTTCTTGGTCATGAGTGACAAGTAAGTGGGCCTTTGGGGAAATGTGAAGTGTCATTGACGAACTCTCTGAGGACGGGAAGATTTAGTGCCGTGTGCGTTTGTATGTGCATGTGTGTGTGTGTGGGCAGAGGTAGATAAGGTCAGTGTAAGTGATGGATAATTTGAGCAGCCACTTTTGGACGCCGTGCCTGCCTCTCTCCACCCACAAACCACCTGTTACCATGCTATAGCTGCAGTCCATGCATGTGTGACAGTGTGTGTGTGTGTGTGTGTGTGTGCGCGTGTGTGGCTGGCAGTTGAGGCACTGTTGGGAGATGTGACAGAGAGCCCGGAGGGAACCGTCCCTTTTGTCCAAGTGGCCCTTAAGGACTCTTTATAATTTCCACATTCAATTACAGCTGCTAGACTCAGAATAAGTAAGGACCAGGTTGATAGCGTGGGAGCAAAAATAATCAATGGCTGGTGTAAAAGACCATTATCTTCAATGTGAAATTGGGAATGGGAATTTTTGCATTGTGTCCAACTATGGTACTATTTTCCATCTTGATTGGCTGAAAATCATCCCACAGCAATGAGGTAATGAGTAATAAGGCAAGCTGCACTAATCTGGATTCACTGTTCAATTGTTAAAATGTGTCACTGTCCCAGAAATCTGTTCTTTTCACATGTGGAATTGTGCATTATTTTCATTATTTTTGCATCGGCAATCTCCCTCCAGAGGTCTGGCTCCGGGTGTTCCTCTTCCTTAGTAGTTGCTCTCGCTTAGATTAGATGCCCAATTGGATGCCGGATACTTGGCTGCAGCCCTGGTGAAACTCCACTACAGGGTGGAGCGTGTAATCAATATAATCAACTTCTTTGTACGCACTCCGTGGCTCCACACAGTTGGAGGCTTATCATTGACTTTTCTGGGTGAGGGAAACTAGGTGGAGCACCCTTGAGACGGGGCTGAATCCTACTGTGCAGAAAGTTGTTTGAATCATCAATCTTCTAACTTTTCAGTTTACAAATACATCTGCTCTTTCTCTGTGTTTCAGCAAACTGCCAAGCTGGGCCAGAGCCGTGGTCCCAAAAATCTTTTATGTCACAGAGAAGGCTTGGAACTATTACCCCTACACTATCACTGGTAAGGCTTTAAATTACACATCCTTGTTCTGCAATTATCTCAAGCAGGGCAGTCAAGAGGTTGATGAAAAGGCATGTTTAGACAGGCCCCTTTGTGCCATCATTATTACCTAAATAGCACTATACTATGTAACAGATGGTAGCATTGGTTTAAAATAAACTAGGCAACCCACCAATCTTTTTGTAAAGATCTCTGACCTTTGTAATAACATGACTTTCTCCACACAAATAAATCCCCATTTACTGCAGCCCTCTATAATCATGGCAACCTGCTGGACTCCATCATAAGGGATCGTGTGGAGGGCAACGAGGTATACAAGCAATATTCTATAATATTCCCGATCAGCAGAGGGCCGGGAGGGAGGGGAGATGGAAGTCATGAGGGACAGTGGAGGTGATGGAGAGAGGACAGGCGAGTTTATCCAAAAGATAAACAGTCAGTTTGAAGGATTAACATGAACAAGCTTAACAAAATATACCAGTGACCATCGTCTATCGGGTTATGTGAAACTTTCAGTAACTGGAAGAGCTGCAAACCACCACGGGAGCCCTCCTGTGTGTGTGGCATAAACACTATGCTTCTATTTTTTGATGAGACCGACAAAGACACCATCGCTGAGATTGAAGTGCTATTGCTCAGGCTTAATGGACTTTTGTCCGTTTTGAACTAAATTGTTTTTGTTTTTTTCTCATCTCTCTCATACGGTTTCATTCTTCTATTCTCTTCAACCTGTCTGCATCCATCACACACCTCCTATCTCTGCCCATTACACTGATGGCCTCTGCTGGGAATATGGTCAGAGTACACGGTGAGTACTCCTAGCATGTCTGCGTCCGCGCACACGCACACACGAAGTAACACGCACTAGAATCCCATTCGATCCAGAAGCTGACACACGGGGTTAAAGGGGACAGTGGTTGCTCGTCCGCTGGATGACAAATGTACGTGAAAATACGGTCTGCAGCAGGAATCGTAACATCGGAATGTCTGTTATCGCCGTCCGTCACACTGTGCACATCTGTGGTGCCTACCGGTTATACTGTAGTCTATCGGGATACAACGTCTTTCAATATGCGCTATAATATATACAATATTTTCTTACTAGCCGGTTGATATTTGAATCCTCAAATCAGCAACCATGGTGGTTTTCAAAAGAGCCTCTAAAGAAAAAGGAGGTCCTGATGTCCTTAGTATTTATAGACTGTGTCGATGGTGTTTTCACGCTGCTTCACGGGAAAGGTTTGTCATCATTAGCCAGATGAGGGTGGTGATGACGCAAAGGATGAGGATATTGATTGGATTGTAAAACAGCTTGTCTTTGTGCCTGTAAGTGTTTGATGAATTGACATGACATTTGTTACAGATATTAGTGATAGTTTGAAATGATCTAGGATATTCTGACTTTTCAACTAGCACCATCTTTCTTTCTTTTGCAAAAATTTTGTAACAAATTCCCATTGGCCTTCGTTGTACCTGCTGTTTTGGGCTTATTAGCTAATGTCCGCTTAAGTTCATTTCATTTGCTGAACTGTGTTGGAAAACAGAAACTCATGGCTCATGTCTTACATTCTAAGAGCCACAAAGCCAGTGAGAGTCGAATTGCACTGTGCGAGATAACCAGAGTAACAATGACGACTCCCTCTCGCACTGTGTTTTTTTCCCCACACACACACACACACACACACACACACACACACACACACACACACACACACACACACACACACACACACACACCTATGCATTTCCCATGAGCTCCCAGCTTCAAGCCCTGTAGAGTGCTGCAGGAAGGACATATTTCTGTAGACCAACGAGAGATAGCATTGCACTTGTTCACTCGACAAAAAGCCACTGTGATTATTTTCCTTTGCATTATTGCAGTGAATAAACTGTGTGGTTAAAGAAAATGCTTATGATACACACACATTTAGTTGAGCTAAATTATCTCCACAAAAGAACACCAACCTTTATGATTTTGGAAGCTTGAATGCCGTTGATAAAGCTAATGTTACAGGCTACAGACAGACTCCAGCAGGATTTACAGAGTCGGCATGATGAAGTCCTGACAATTAGATATCGGTTAGATCAGTGTTTTTCAACCTTTTTTTGCGTCAAGGCACACTTAAGACACAGAAAAAAATCTCACGGCACACCAACAACCGAAAATGATATGAAAATCAATCCCAAACATAGTTTCAGCATGAGCATAATATACTCTTAAGAAATCAGGGAAACGCGTGTTCTATTTGTTGTGTTTTATTAAACGTGACATCATCCTAATGCCAAGATGTCACAGGCTTTATGCCCAGGTATCTCTTAGGCCTAGTTTATGCTTCTGCGTTGTCCCTTGCCTCGCTTGTCACACCTCCTTGCGTGTGTCGAGCCATTTTTCTGCGACGCAGGCCTCCCGCAGCGCACCAGGCTGCGATTGGTCCGATACCGCCATTATTAAAACGAAGAATGTTTACGAGAGAAACGGATCAGATTTAAGAACTTTTGTCGGAAGAAATGCGTAAATACGAGCGCTTCTACAAGCCGTCATTGGCGGGTTGTAGAAGCGGGTTGGATTCACGGAGGGAGATCGCCGCAAACGCCGTCTTCAACAAAACACGTTACTCCGCCTGTTGTTCTGGCGGTGAACTGCTCTGCAACACACGCAGAACCATGAATTGAAACGAGTGCGTCGACGCAACGACGCATACGCAGGCGCAGAAGCATGCGCCGGCCTTAAATCTCACTTTTTTAAATTGTCGCCTCAGCAAATTTGCCTATTAATTACGCTGCGTACCGCCACCCACAGGCAGAGGGGAGTATTGAGCCTTCATACCGCCAACGACATACGACATACACACACGAACACACAAGTTAGCTCTTTTTTTTTCACCAATGAAGTGACAGTATGTAAAAAATGATTTTTTTTTCACGGCACACCTGACAGCCTCTGGTGTGCCGCGGCACACTGGTTGAAAAACACTGGGTTAGATATCGATCATACAATATAATAGATAAATAGCAAATGTACAAACCGTCAATATCACTTAAGCTGGTGTTAATCACGTATCCTATTTTAGGCACGTAACCAAGACGAGGACACCAGAGGTGTGAACTCCTCTGCAGATATCGGGACTCAATCCTGCAGCAGCTCATCGTTTCCTCATCCCTCTGGCTGTCTTTGTCCTGCTGTGGAACACACAGACACACATTCACATGCACACACGCCAGCATGCACATCAACAGTTTATGCAACCAGTATTCTTTGGTGCTATAATACTAGAACGTGTTACATTTTGATCTAATCAAACTGCTGATGAATGCCAGTCAATATTACCAAAGATATTAAAGAGAAGTGTGGGCGCATAAGGAAGTAATTACTCCGTCTCAGGTTGTGTGCGTGTGGTGTTGAAGAAAGAGAAGTGCGGTAAATCTACACAGTGGTAATCGTTATTGCTCATCTGGTTGAACACAATCGAGACGCACGATTAGCCTCACGTGTCACTCCGGTGCAATCCTATGCAATGTGATTATCTCTTCGTATCAATCGCTCACTCTCCTTTCGTGTCTCTCCCGCCCAGTGCTCCTTCCTGCCCAAGTTTTCCATCCACATAGAGACCAAGTACGAGGACAACAAAGGGAGCAATAATGATGTGAGTAGAGCTCAGCGTGTCGCATGGCTGGGAATGTATCTTGTGAAAAAAACTAACAAAAGGGATCTCATTGTGGCTTTTCCACACAATCCCCAGTCCTTCAGTTTTCGGTTCATTTTCATTTAAATACGTTTTGCACACATCCCATAAAAGGTTTTTACCCCGTATGGTCAAGCATTTGCTAACATTTTTTTCAGTATGTGACTTGGCTGCAGGTCAGTCAGAACAGCAATAGTAAGACTTCATTAGCAATAAACTACCTGCTGCGGTTCTGTAGCTACATGACAATCAACCGCCAAGTGGAAAATCCCATCACAGCACCATTTAATCATTTCACTTCATTCTAATGAACGACTAATTCTATTCTAATGATCGACATTTTTTGAAACCTCATATTGGCAGCATGTAGGTACAGCATAGTTGATACCACATAGCTTGTTCTCCACCGCTCCCTCAGTACCACTTAACACATTGGTGGCAGGGGGGTCGCAAGGTTATGCAATACTACCTCCATGGATCCATACTGTGGCTGAAAAGGAAAGGCCGCGGCTCCACCTAGTGGTGGCTCGGGGGAACCCAGTATGCTTTCACAGACGCTCATAACTTCACATTGGAAATTGATTGTAACAAGCCGAGGTGTTTTTTGGGATGTGAGTGTTTCTTCCTTCTGCTGTCGAGTTGACACCTCCTGTCCCATTTGTGCAGTCTGTGTTTTTCTCCTTTCATTCGTCTCCTTCGTCCGTTTTAATACTCTCTTCGACCCTCTCACTGTCGTTTTCCCATTCCCGCTACATCTGCATGACTGTGTGTGAAAAGTGGGATCAAGTAACGGAGCAGATAACAGGATGTCATTGCTTTGCTGTTCCTGTGTTCCTGTGTGAGACACAGGAAGAAATCACGGAGTGAGTCACAAACATCCTTTTCATTTACTTTATTAAAGCCAGATGGAAGGAAACCTGTGCTCTGCATTTTTAAGACCCAACACGACATCATGTCATCGTCCATCTGCCACATACGCCTTTGAACATCTGCTTTTCTGTTTAATATTTAATGTCCTTTTCCCCTTTCCGAAAGTAAGTGTGTGAAGCTGCGCCATTTCAACCGTGCAAAGCGACAGTGGACACATCAGAACCAGCGTAGACGCCTACTGATTTCATCCTGATTACATCCTGCACGCGCAATGAACTGTTCCCTGTTTCTTAGATCTTTTGCAGCGAGCCCAAAGACGAGGAAACAGAGGTGTGTTTCGTGGACATCGTCTATGATGAGATCCCCGAGCGCCACTACAAGGAGTCAGAGGTGAGGGCAGTCAAGTCATCCACCTCCTGATACAAATATATATTTACATAAATATGTTTGTATGAGCGAGAAGAGCGCTGGACGAATGAATACACAAAGGAGGAAGCACAAAAAGTAGAGCAAACAAGTCCACAAATAAAAAATGAGAAGAAGGGAGGAGGTGTGAGCAGAGAGCAAGAATAGTGTTATCCCTCCTGCAGCGCAAGCTAATTTCTGACCACCAGCTGGCCATCTGCCTCCTAAGTGATTGAAATACATGTTTATGTGAGGGGATGGGGGGTGGGGGGGGTGATGGACATTAGCTGTGTTGATTTGACATTTGTGTGTGTGTGTTTGCCCGTCTGTCAGGGTGTGATGGTCATAAAAAGCTGAGCTATTAATAATCACAGGGGGCTATGATGTCACTGCTGTGGTGTTTTATTATTGACACCTCCACTTACACACACACAGATATATACAAAACTCCCACCAGGCTTTATGGTGCTCTTGTCCTCTCACAGCTAAAAATAGCACAACGTTTCCGTCCAGGGTTAAAAGGGGATGTCACGTGGCCAATGTAAATATCTTGTTTTTTCAGAGACAACTCAACAATGCACAAGAACCACAACGGCCTTTTTTTCCCCTCTTTCTTTGCACTAAGCTACGCTATCATGCTGCTAGCTGTGGCTTTGTATATATGTATGTATAGACAAGTGTTTTATCCAGCAGGGCTTGTGTATCACCCCCGCACACTGTCACAGTCACACAAATGATCAGTACAGCACAGTTAGTCTACCTGATTAATGCAGGTTGGGTTTGTGATTAGGGACACGTAATGAATTCACGCTGCTGTCCTTTAGGCGTGGAGGAGGAAATGTGTGTATGAGAGGTACGTGATGGATAGGAAGATTTTTAAAGGATACAGTTTGACAAACAATTAACCTTACCGTTTCACTAAACTGGTGTCTCGTGGCCTTGCAGGACCTGCATTATTTTAAGTCAAAGAAGACTAACCGAGGCCTCCTGCAGGAGGGATGGATCAACAGCCAAGAGCCCATCATGTGCTCCTACAAACTGGTCACTGTCAAGTTTGAAGTCTGGGGCCTGCAAACACGCGTGGAGCAGTTTGTGCACAAGGTCGGGACAGAAAATATATCTCAGAAATTTCAGTCAAACAATTCACACCTTGTAGATCAGGGTCAGTGCTTGTGGTGTTTCTTTTTCCCGCTCTGAAAACACGACCCCAGATCGTTTTTAACTTTTACCACATCTGCCGCATCCTACAGATTACCTCGCGCCAACTTCCCTCTGCCTCGGCTGCAGCATATAAACTACATTTCTCTCATTTCCCAAAATAATTTCCCCCCGGCCCTCCACAGCATCGGCCCACCGGGTGAGCCGTCGCCCAGAGGCACACGCACACACCGCCAGGGCCGTTACTCGCACGGTAACACCGCCAACGACTCGTATAAAGCGCAAAGGGGTGAAGGGCAACATTTAGAACACAAAATTGTTTTGAAACACTTAACGTCCTCCAGAGTTAACGCGCAGTGATTCACCTCCTCCCCCCACGAACTGCCTCCGCCCCTCTTTATCATTCTCACTCTCTGATCTTACGCCTCTTTTTGGCTTCCTCTTCCTCCCTCTCTGTGTGCTTCTGCTCAGGTGATTCGAGACGTCCTGCTGTTGGGACACAGGCAGGCCTTTGCCTGGGTGGATGAGTGGATTGGTGAGTTTGTTGGAGAACGTGGGACGCTGATTCATCTCAAGATTAAATCTGAAACTGTCAGTGGAATAAAGTTTACAGTTTCACCCCAATCTGTAGTCAAGCTGAAATGATCCCTGTCGGCATTTTTTTCTTGTGGTCATCAGAAAGTTATTTCCTTACGTGTCTCATAGATCACTGTTATTTATACATTTTTTATACACACTGCACACTAAAGCATTCTATTTTCTTTGGCTTTAAACTTGATAAATATGACAATCTCTGTAGAGGGGTCGAGAACTCTATGACTTGTTCTGTTGATTAGCCTTTAATCCGTCAAAGATATAAAATGTATTCATTCAAATTCATACTAGTTTATGTCAGAGAACCTGTCCCATGAATCCCCGGTCAGCTCACGTCTTTTTAGAATTACATTTCATGTCACTAAATCAGGTTGTTTTTTCTAATGTTAGATTGTTTGTATTTCACGAGAGCGAAGCAGCTTTCCAATTAGTGCGGCTGTTTAATTCAATTTGAGCTTTTCATTTTCACTGAAAGCTCCAAGTCTCTCTCATTGCACTTCATCTCCACGATTCATCTCACGCCTCTCGTGAGCCCTTACTGTTTAATTTGTAATTTAATAAGTCACTGCCCCCCCCACCCCCCCCCGTTACAATCCTGTCCCTCTATTGAAGTGAGTATTCCGTTCCCACAGACATGACCATGGAGGAAGTCCGAGAGTACGAGCGCGCCACGCAGGAAGCCACCAACCTGAAGATCGGCAGCTTCCCCCCCGCCATCTCCATCTCAGAGACCCCGCTTCCCTCCAGCGCCCGCAGCGGCCCCAGCAGCGCCCCGACCACCCCCCTCTCCACAGAAGCCCCCGAGTTCCTGTCGGTGCCGAAGGAGCGCCCCAGGAAGAAGTCCGCCCCGGAGACCTTGACCCTGCCAGATCCGGGCCGGAGGGACTCGCTCTTCAAGCTGCCCAGCTTCTTTTCCTGGAACTCCAGCCCGCAGCCGGAATGAGGGCCGGGCCGCGCCACTGGTGAAGCCCCCCCCCCCGTTCGCCCTGTGGACCAGCGGAGGACGCCTGAGCAGCACGTCCCACAACAAGCCCCTCAGCCAGCTGAAGTGAAGCCGAGACTTTGCACCGCCCTGGCGATCCAAGCCCCCTCAGCCGACTCGCCGACTGTTACAGCCAAAGCCTACAGCCTCCGACAGGCAGCCTGATGTCCATAGCAAAACGTCCCGCCAGGTGTAAAGGTACAGCGCGTCCAATTGAGTCCAACAAAAGCAGCTGGAGACACAGCGCCAACCGTCAGACGCTATCGTCAGATTGAGTGTAGTGTACATTCCTGAAACCGTTTTTATCCCACAGATTGTCACCCCCCTTGCTTGCGTTGGCGAGGTGTGTTGAGGTTCAGTCACCGCACATCTTCTTTACATGTACAGAGTTTGTTTTTTTCTGCCTCAGGCGTCGGAGTGTCTGGCTTTGTTAAATGGACCTTGTGGTTTGGCGTTTCTATTTATGTGGTTAGGACTTTACGACCACTGTATCCGTTAAGTGTTTTTACTGTCAGGTGTAAGGTGATTGCGTATTCTTGTATATATATTGTATGATCTATATCTAACCGTTAGTAATTCAAACAGAATATCATATTTCCAGGGAGATGCTGCTATTAGATTGTAATTTAAAGAACAGGACTCTCTATCGTCTTCAAGTGTTTATTATAGTGCGTCACTACAATGCCTGTAAATGGAGAAGTAATTGCATGATTCTGCAGAGACTGAATAATAAATGTTCTTTGTCCTCTTTACTAGCTCGGCCTCACACTTGATGTTGTGTTAACGAGTTTTCACAGACTGATCATTTGGTTCTGCATGTTGTTTTGCTGCTTAATTCCTTTAAATTGTATTCATTTTTTGTCATACTGTTGATGGGTTTTGTATTCAGTAAATTTAATTAAAATTCAATACTGATATCTATAATTGTGTGAGAGGTTTTTGATGGCCGTGCAAAAAGGCAATAGAAGATTTAAACAAAAAAAACACTCACGAGTGGGCAGAATGCGGATCTCGACTTTATGTTTCAATGTTGGTACAAATAGTTTTTGTTGAAAGTAAAATTGGAATTTGAACTTTTATTCTATGTTGTACTGGATTTAATTCAACCAGAAGATGGAGACAAAATAGTTAAAGTCTACACAGACACAAGGAAACGTTCGATCATCCATATAGGGAGCCTGTTTGAAAAGTGCAACTATGAATCCTTCCAGTACTTTATAGTTGCTGCACAGGTAAATACTTTCAAAGAAACACTGCTGTCAGGGTTTTCTGAGCATTCGTGAATCCTCACCACACAGACAACTTTTATTACAAAATACTTTTATTCAAAAAAGAATTACCCGAAGGTGTTGTATAGACATATAGGAAGAGACACTTTGAGCAGACAAGCTGTAAACTTAGTGGGGAGTGGGTTTCGCCCACAGTACAAAATACAATAAATATTAAAACATGAGGCGAAACACATTTGACCACACAACCAAAGTACATTTTTTCTGAATATTCGTTCAACTTCCAGTTGAATGACTAAATGTCAAGAAATTGTGAGACGACATTGCAAAGTTAAGATTAAATTGAAGCTTAAAATGTGAACCGTTCAGTGAGACAGTGACCTGTTTAGATAGTTATCTTTGAAAAACATCTATACCTTTTAGAAACCCCTTTAATATTAAATAAATACAAAAGAACACGTCATGACAAGCAAAGTGGGACAAAAACAAATACAATGAGGTCATGTTCTTACATGTAAACGCAACAAAAACCGACTGACATCAATCCAGCTGACTAAACGGGTTAAGTGCAAGTAAGGAAGCCTTGCAGACCGATGTGCGTGATTGTGCCTTTGTTACCTTTTTCCTTCCCCTTCACTTTCTCTCCTCGAGGCCATTTCTCCTCCGCCTCTCCTTGAGGTTGCGCATGGCGTCGAGGAACACCTCGTACCAAAAAAAGGTGAAGCCCGTTGACAGCGCCGCCTTGACCAGGCTGGGCGAGAGGCCTTTGAAGAAGCCTCGCACGCCCTCCTCTTTGGCTATACGGACCATGCAGTCCACCAGGCCTCGATAGGTCCGCACCTGCGCGTGAGAAAACCCGACACGCTGCTTACACATCAGACGCGGGTGTGCTGCGTGTCAGACGCGTCATCGGCGGGCTCACCTGTCCGAACTGAACCCTGGCTGCCTCGAAGCCCCCCACCTGGAGTCTCTTCTTGCAGAGGTCAAAGGGGTAAGTGATGGTTTTGCTGATCATTCCAGCCCCACTGCCACAGACCAGGCTTTTTAGGTGCCCTTGAAGGTGGGACGTGCAAAAAGATACAACGTCGAGCCGCGAGTAATTCATATGCTTTGTATGTGCTGTGGTGAACGCCACAAACCCCACAGACCTCCGACGTTTCCAGCTTCTTTGGACGGCAGAGCAAACAGTTTCCTGAAGACATTGTAGAAGAAGAACTGCATCCCAGCGTAAGGGAACACCGCCACCAGCGTTGGACACAGGCCGCGGTAAAACGTCAGCGGTCCCTCCGAGCGGCACATGGTGAACACGGCGTGACGCAGGTTCCTGTACACCTGAGAGGAAAGAAGGAAGCCTTACAAAGGGTCTCTGGCTTACAAAGTTAAATACCTTCCTGGAAGAAATGCTAACTTTATTATTTTTATTTTAGTATTTCCAGTAATAACAATAGTTCCTTATGAATTCAATTAATGGGAATTTGCAACAGAAAATAGAACGGAACGAATAAATTACAAAATGATTGATTTATTAAGTTCAATATTTGCTCAAATCCAAACTAGCCAAGCTAGTAGAAAAAAGACAAAAAGACTTTTGTCAATTCAATTTAAAATGCATTTAACTGCAGTAGAAGTAAAAGAATACATTCACAGTTGTTCAGTAAGAACATGGCCTGTCTGATGAGATCAACTCGTCCGATCCATTTCAAACAAACAAGAGGAAAAAAACATGAGGAACGTGAGGAATTCCTGGACTCCACCTTAGTTTCTCCCTGAGCTGCAAAGCGTGTCCGCAGGGTGTCCAGAGGCTGGCAGACCACGGTGGCCGAGCACGCAGCCAGGCCGCCGCACACAAAGTGAACTCCTGCCGTCTGGCTGTTGTACAGCGTGGACGTGTGAACCGCCTCCGTCAGGAACTCAAAAGTGGCAAACTGCAAATCACGTGCACGCCGTCATTTCAAAAGACGTAAATACAGCTTGTGTTACGGGGTTGGTTTTGAAAGTGCCACGAGGGGGTTCTACCTGGACAGCGCCAAAGGAGATCGAGAGTAGCTGTGCAGGGACGTGACCCTTCCAGAAAGCAGAGAGTCCCTCCTCTGAGTAAATGCACCGGGACGCCTGCAGTAATCCGCGATATTTCCCCTCGGGCCTCAGAGAAGACACGCGCTCAATCTGCAGCTGTGGGGCAAAGAATCAGGGATAAACGTGCAGGAAGAAAAACAGCCACGAGGACGACGCTGAGAGGGGAAACCAACAACTGATCATTTGTCTACTTTTAATATACGTTATTACTTTGCGTGTCTCAAAAATACACTTTAATATATTCGTTCCCGCGTAGGTGAATCCAGCGCACAAAGCATCGTTACCTGAAATCGGATTTTAAGCACATCGAGGGGGCTGATGAGCGCCCGGGTGACCATTCCAGCAGCTGACCCGGCCAGGGCGGCCTCCTCTGGTGACAGCGCTGTCCCCTGAGCCCTGGGGTCATAGCCCACCATGTCGCTGCAGGAACAGACTCTGCAGAAAGACTGCAGAAAGGAATGGTGAAGTACAGTATTTGTGTTTTTAAATTGGTTACAATGGGGTTAGATTCAGAAGTTACTTGACATAAGCCTGAAATAGTTTGTTATCAATCAATCAAACTTTGTTGATTTAGGTCCGGATGGTTAATTAAAAATATACACACAATAAAAGTATAAAAGTACGGATTTACAGGTAAAAGTACTGCACTTTTTAAAATTTGACTAATATATAAGTCTTTAAGATTGATGACAATGCAGAATGCCCCCACCCAGACGTTGTAAATCCTACATATATAAATCAGGATTAACAAAGTCATTCATTCATATGTTATAAAGTCTGCAGAAGTTTGTGGCATATCTTCCTAGATGGGGATTTTTATAACCTTTCGCCAACTCAAACTACAGTAAAAGCATCCATGTCTAGAGAATATAACATTTTCGACACATAATATGATTTATATATAATATTGATATTAGCAGCCCGTAATGGGGACCATATCAAAGACACAACATGTGTAGAGGACATGCATTGAGACCTTGGGGCTAGCTAAGCTAAGCTAACAACAACAGAGAGGTTATTGTCTTTAAGTGACACAAGAGAACCGAAAGTTACCTTTTAGTTAAAGTCCTTCCCAAATTAAACTAAAGCCAAAGTACTGAACGCAACGCGTCCAATTCAACAATAATATGACAAGAAAAGGGTTTCTACTCATTGGTAATGTATTGCAATCTAAAAGCATTACATCCGGGTAAGACGGACCGTGCTCCGCCTTTCAAAGCACACATGTTGCGACAAGATGAACCTGCCTCACTTCATCAACCCGGAAATAAAGCGATTTTTGGTAAATCCCCTATTAATTCCTATTAACAGCACAAATATATTGAGCTTTGATGTATAGTTGCTAAGGTGAAGCTATACTTGGTTAAGCTGTGCTCAATTTAAATGTAGATGATATGACTATGCAGTGCTACATTATAATCTGCAAGGTATATTGTGTTAAGCAAGTGGAAACACAGCGATTAATTGCTGTTTTCATTCACACAAAACACTCCAGCTACATAGAGAGAACTTATATTTTCTGTGTGAGTTACCAGTGGCTTTTTACACCTACTGCGCTTTAAAGTCTTTAACGTTGCATCGAGAGAGCCATTCTAACGGCCTCTTTTCGTTCGCCGTTACGTTATTTTAGAAGAACGGCAGGGATTCATCTTGCCGTCACACTTAACCTTTGAAGGACTTACATCCACCCAACTGGAATGACCAGCATCGGTGTAAAGAAGTGGACTAACCTTGCTCAATTTTAGGTGATTTATCGCTTACTTCTTGGGAATGTAAATAACTGGTTTGAACATTTTTGTTGACTGCACTTTATGTAATGTTAGCCTAACGTCACACGTTACTTTTCTTTTGGCGGGCGGTGAACGTAACGCACGTAACGTTAGGTTCAGATAACAAACTGGACGCTAACTCGTCTCCACGTCGACGTTAACGTTGGGGTTCACGCTAGCTAACGTAAGCTAATTTACATTACTCAACAGTTAAATTGGTGCCTTGACATACAGCCAAACCGTTCCACGCTGGTTTAGCTACCCGGTTAACGTTACACAAGTTAACGTGGCTAGCGGTAGATAGCTAAATACCTCTTACTTTAAAACTACAATATGCTTGAATTAAATCTGTTGATTTGGGGTATTCGGTGACCTTTCGGTTGACCCCCCCAGTCGGTCCACGTAATCCCTCCTATCCCTCAGTGAATGAGCGGCCAGTTTGATGACGGTACAGGATTTTTGCGGCAATTGTTTCCCCGGTCACTGTTCTGTTGTTGGTAACGTTGGTGTGTTTGTGAGTCACCGTCAAAAAAATACATAATTAAAGTTCTGAGTCCTCCTGAAATTCATTTAAACATCTTCACAGCGTGATGGAAAGCCCTGCTGATGACTACAGGATCCAGTCCTTTGACCTGGACACTCAGATGTTGCTGAAGACAGCCTTGAAAGGTCAGCAGGTCACTGTCCTCTTATTTCAAAGTCAGAATCAGATCCATGTCCCCAAATGCCTTTAATACCTTTCCAATAATTACATTTCATTCATCAAGTTACCTGCAGCGTCCTCAGTGCCAAGGATACATGTATTTTTTTTTAATGCAGTTTTTTTTCTTCTTTCAGATCCAAGTTCAGTGAATCTGGAGAAGGTTTCAAACGTCATCGTGGATCAGTCTCTAAAGGACCAACTTTTCAGCAAAGAAGCTGGTCGCATCTGCTACACCATCGTGCAGGTGCAGGCTCTACGCTTTTACATTCATCTCCACACAGTTTGACGGGCTCGTTGTCCATACAACCGCCATTGTTGTCCACATTAATATCTTTGATTGAGACAAAAGGTATTTAGGAAACCAGAGCAGAACTTCAGCATTCCATTAAGTCTCTTAACCAATGTCTTAATCCTCTTTTTAATGCCTAACTGGTAGTTGACACCCGAGCAACAGGAGGCTCTTAATCCAGCTTACCTACATCGATGCGTTTCCCAACATTTTGTCCATGCTGTGCCGTCCCATCTCGGTCCCCCCGTGCAGGCCGAGACCCAGCAGAACAACGGCAACGTGTTCAGGAGGAGCGTGTTGAACCGCCTCCAGCAAGAGTACAAGAGGCGAGAGGAGACGAGGGGGCGCTCGCGGCAGGAGTGGATGTGCTACGTCTCGTTCATCTGCAACGTCTTCAACTACCTCAAAGTGAGTTCCCCTCTTTCAGTTGGATGAAGAAGTCAGCGGCGAGGCTGGAGGCTGGTGGTCCCACTTCGCTTTCACGTTGACTCCGGTTTCATTCTCAATGACGGCCATCGTTGTTTTGCACAGGTCATCTCTCTAAAAGTGGGTCAGGGCTGATTGTTCACTGGAAAGGTGGAAATTCAATTTGGTACAACATCACCGCTGCATCCATGAAACTTTGAGTTGTCTTAAGTTTGGTGACGCCCAGCTGCTGTAAGCACCATCTATGTTTTTCCCTGACGTTTAGGTGAACAACATGCCGATGGTGGCTCTGGTACATCCTGTCTATGACTGTCTGATCCGGCTCGCCCAACCAGACGCTCTAATGAATGAAGAGGAGGTGAGGAACAACGTGTAGTTATGGCTCCTTTTGTTGGTCATTTTATTACTCTAGATTCTAAATTGTCAGTAAAATGTCTCCTGTCTTTTTTTTTATACATACATACATTGCTTGCTAGTTTTCCTTAGTGACATCCGTTTAGTTGGTTTTTGTTTGACTCCCTCCATCGCACATTCCCAGGACAAGTTTGGGGCGTTGAGGGTGTGCCTCAAGTGTTTTGGGACAATTGTAATTTCTTATGACATTTCATTGGGGGGGGGTGTCACGGGCAATGGTAGCAATAATGCTAATGTCAAATTTTGAGACATCGCACAGCGGGTGGGTGGGCGACCAATGGGACGCTTAATGCAAGTCCAGCAAAATAAAAACATCTCTAGACCACCGTTCTCTATTCAGACATTTTAACCGGGTCTGAGGCCATTTCCACACTAACAGAACTCTGTCCAGCTGTCATGTGACTGATTAATGTAATGTAAGATTAATGCAAAACAGCACAATCCTATTCTTTTAAAAAAAAGAACTCCACAATTTTGGACGAATGAGGACTGTAAATGAAAAACATGTAATATAATTTCTTTAAATGGTTGCATATTTTAAAAAACGCAATTTTATTGAAAAAAGATACCAATCAAAATTAAATTGAATACAATTAATATCACACCTTCCCTTGATTCAGAGGTTTTATTCAATGAGATCGTAAAATATCAGACCCCTGACGTCCCCACCCTCCTCCGCAGGTAGACTGCCTGGTGGTGCAGCTGCATCGCATCGGCGAGCAGCTGGAGAAGGTGAACGCCCCGCGCATGGACGAGCTCTTCTTCCTGCTGCGGGACGGCTTCCTGCTGCAGGAGGGGCTGACCTCCATGGCCCGGCTGCTGCTCCTGGAGATCCTGGAGTTCCGGGCCGGAGGCTGGTCGCTCAGCGGCACCGCCCACAAGTACTACTACAGCGAAATTGCTGACTAGGATCAGGGATTTTAGGGGGGTTTTGTGTGGACGCGGGAACCGAGCCGCTGCTTCTGCAGCCCTTCGGATTAGAAAACCAGCAAATTTCTAAAGGACGTCAGCCTCCTCCGGGGAAACGGGGGGAGGGCTTCGAGAAGACGGCGCCTCACAAACTGTGGAATGGCTTTTTGATTTGGCTGTTTGATCATTTGACCGCCACGTGGTGGCGTGGATGCGGAATGTGCAATAGTTGTACAAGGCGTTGTAGTTCAGTTGATGAGGTTTAGCCACATTCAGGTACACTTTGTTCTTAAGAAGCTGAAGCTATTTTATTTGTTGTTTTTATTGATCTTGCCGGCATTCCTGTTTTTTACCAAATCCAAAGGACTTGGAAGCGACATTCCAGTAAGAAACAAGCTCATTTGCTTTACTTTTTATAGTCGTGCGACCAAATTTGATTGAAAATCTATATTTTAATAATTTAGTTGAGATTTTTTGTGTGGAATTGACATTTTACAGGTTTGAAAAGCTATTCAGAGGAATTTTCTGCCTTTTTTTTCTTTGTAGGATTCCTGCATTAAAGTTGGGTTAGGTGTCGTAGTATGAGGCAGTTTTATTAATTGAGACATTTTATTTTAATTCTTTGTCATAGCTCATCTAAAACATAAGAACACAGCTGCAGTTCACATTTTAACATTTGACATTCAATATATTTCTGGACGTTTGTTAAGCAATTGGTGCAAATATAGACTAACTGAAATAAAAGTAGCAATATGACAGTAGACAAAATGTTGCAGGATAACCCATTTCAAAATATATATATCTATAGATATATTGGATCCTAATAATTGATGCATTAATACAGAAAAAACAACTATTTACCCTGAAAATGTGCTTAGCCCCCCCCCATGGCTGGAGGAACGTCTGTCTACTGAATTCCCAGCAGAGAAGTGATGTTCCTCTGAATGAGGACTGCCACACTTCTTCTGAGCGGATCTCTGCTGTTTACGGCGTCACGATCTCTAACCAGAGTTGTGCCTTTTGATTCTGACAACAGCACAGCAGACAAACGTTACACCTCTCGGAGAAGTACGGTTCAATGTAAAATTTGCAGATTGATTAAGGAAGTGTATTATATTTCCCAAAATATCTTCTGATTGTGTTAGAGGATTTCAGTTTAACATTTGTTTTTCACCACTTTGAGACCAAGTAGATATAACGAACGTGAGTCATTCAAGTTAAATTAGTCCCTTAATGAGGCAGTGCTGACTTGCGACAGCAGCTCATAGTTAATAACATTTTTACATTTCTCAATTCCATTTTCATGGTTTGTTTGTACATTTGATGCAGACTTATTTGTTCAAATAAATCTTTGAAGTTTATTCCTGTGTGTTTATTAACAATACAGTGGAGTCTGTATCGTACACAATGTAGTAACTCTTTACAAAAAGACACAAATGTCCAGGTCTTCCTTTTACATTTCACTGTTGTCCTACAGCACTTTTTTTTTTCTGCACAGTCTTTCCAACATTGTCACAGTGCTCCTTATTTACAGAAATGGCAGAACGAGTCACTGAAAGTCCATCTGGGAGAGGAGGGGCCGGAGGGGGGCTTTCTACCACCACCGGTAGTGGGCGTAGGCTCTGTTGGCCTCGGCCATCTTGTGCAGCTCATACTTCTTCTTGATGACGTTGCCCTCCTTCACAGATGCTGCCAGCAGTTCCTGGGAGAGTTTTTCGTACATGTGCATGCGGCGATGTTTGTTGTCCCGGCACTCCGTAATCATCCATTTCATGGCCAGGAAGCGACGGCGGTTGTCCGAAAGGGGGATGGGCACCTGGGTGGAGGTGGAGACCAGACCGAATATAATTAGCCTTTATGTTTATTCCCTCATCTGAAGCATTATTGATGCGCCTCATCGCTCACCTGGTAGTACTTTCCACCTTTCTGTATGCTGGCCAACCCAACGACGGGCTTGCAGTTCTCCAGAGCCTGGTGGAAAACGGCGTACGGGTTACACTCGATCTCTTCCTTTTTCCCTTCTGCAGCTTTGTGATATTTCTCCACCTGTTTCCTCTTTATGCTCTCCAGGGTCTGGAGGCAGAGAGAGAAGTTAGATTAGATACGACACAAATCTTTGAGCTCCCCTTTGAGACTGTGTTTGTTTTCTTACGTCTGTCATAATCTCTCGGGCCAAAATCTTGTTTCCGTCTGTCATCATCATGTTTATGAATTTACTGAAAAGCAAAAACAAACATTATTGCCTGTGATGAATTTCTAAAAGGTGCACAGCTCATGTTTTTCCAGTACCTGAGGACTGGGTCACTGAAAACGGAGCTGGTGACTCCACTGGTCGCTGCCTTGAAAGGTCGGACCGCTTTGAGCTCCCGCTGCTCCTTCTCCTCGGCACTCAGCTCTGTCTCCGGTGTGCTGTAGGCCTCCTTGCTGACCTCCGGCTCCAGATAGTACGGGTTGTATCTGCTCCACCTCACCAGGAACACTCTGCCAACAAAGGACACCAATTAGTTTGGAGAGTTTCTGCGGCGTGAGGACCGGAATCACCAGCCCTGATTGGTCGATCCATATTATTTACAGAGATTTTAGCAGCGATCATTAAGGGCAGTAGATCAAAGCAGATAGTGAGAAATATTCACTTTGTACACTTTAAAAATGAAATAATAGTTAGTCAGGTCATGTTTTTTTAACAAAAACATTCTTGATTTCAGTCTGAAGGAATTGGTCTGGTTCAATGTCGAACAGGATATGATGCTTTTCTCCGTTATCACTGTAAATTAAAAGCTAGTATGATCATTGTCATTGGTGGTTGGTAACATTTGATATCTTGAGCAAAACAATGATGGGGCTACTACACACTATAGTTTGACACTAATAACAGAAGCAGCTAAATAATCAATATTATAATAAATGCAATCTATATCCGCAGCACAAGGTGCAAAAACACATAAAGGCGTATAGACGTATATGAAGCCTAGCTAGTCTGCTTTACATGATGTAACCATTTCATTGAGACCGATGAAAAACTAAACAGCTAACGATACATCGGTTTCACAGAACAGAGGAATTACGTGTAATAATTAAGTTAATAGCTGTTTGCAATTGTACGGCTCGTGTTGGCAGATATGTAACGTTACCACAACCGCATCATTCTAAATGTTTTAATCCTGAATTGCCGTAAAATTTCGTCCATAGCACATTAATACCAAATAGACTGCTAACGCCAGCTAGTAATGTGTGTGTGTGTGTGTTTATAATTTGATATTACCTTGGTGTCCAAGGTTTTAACAATCCAGTGATGGAAGCAGCCATCTTGAAAATGTGAGTGTCTGTCAGGACCCCGGCTTAGTAGCTCCCGCAGATGCCTTCACAGAAAGGTTACATTAAAAATCAAGTTTTTATTCGGCAGATAAATGTAACACCGATGTGATTTTTTTAATACTTTTTTTACAATGATGTGAAACGGTGTTTTTTTTAATTATTTCTTTTAATAATTCTGATCAATAATGTTGGACTCTCGCGCACACGCTGGCGGTGACGTCACGGCTTGTTGATAGTGCCATGGCGTACCAGGAAGGGGAGTCGCTTGAATCCTGGCTCAGTGAGTAATTCCTCTCATTTTATGAATTAAATCAAGTGTGTAATTAGCTGGATTCGGGGCAGTAGCGTTAAAAACCTGTTAGTGAGGAAGCTGCTTGGGTGGAGGCGGGGGGGCAGTTACGGGTGGGGTAGTGGTGGTGATCGAGGGTCCTCCTGGTTCCCTATCATCCGTCTGCATCATTGGCAGGATGGGGGCAGAGAGCCTTGATGACAGCTCGGGGTTCACAGGCGCTCTGCGAGAAGCTCTCAGCACAGTTTCATACTCGCAGCTGGTGTTGAACAGCAGTGAGCAGCACTGTTGACACGATGAGCTCTCTATCAGTAGTTACAAAGGGGACACTCGCTGCATTGTTCCCTGTTTGTTCACGGTGGGACGTGACGTGTGTGTGTCTCTCTCTGGACAGATAAAGCCACCCATCCGACTAACAGGCAGGAGGACTGGGAGTACATCATAGGCTTCTGTGATCAGATCAACAAGGAGTTGGAAGGGTACGGCCGCGATGTCTTTGCAAACCATTACCTTTTATTCACCTCCAGAAGTGTGTCTGATGTTTGAGTTTCTGTTTTTATTTTTTGCAGTCCTCAGATAGCTGTGCCTCTCCTCGTCCACAAAATACACTCGCCACAAGAATGGGAAGCTCTTCAGGCTCTGACCGTAAGAAATGATTCACCTTAATATTAACCAGCATCTTTTTTTTAAATTTGTATTTAATCTCAACAACGTTGTCTTCAGGTATTGGAGGCATGTATGAAGAACTGCGGGAGAAGGTTTCACAATGAAGTCGGAAAATACCGATTTTTAAACGAGCTGATTAAAGTTGTGTCGCCAAAGGTATGCGTTCTCCAAATAGGACTATAAAACAAAGTATGTATGTTATCTGTATTTCCTACCATCCGGCCTCTAATCCTCTCTCTTTTATTTGCAGTACATGGGCGACAGTGCACCCGAGAAGGTGAAGATGAAGATTGTTGAGATGCTGTACAGCTGGACGGTGGCTTTCCCAAACGAAATCAAGATCAGCGAAGCCTACCAGACGCTGAGAAGACAGGGTGCGTTGGGTTCAGTCCGGCGCTCATCACAATGCATGTGACAAAAAGATGCCTCATCCTCCTCGCTCTCCTCACCAGGCCTCGTCACACACGACCCCGAGTTGCCGCTGGACAGGACTCTGATCCCCTCTCCTCCGACTCGGCCCAAACATCCGGTGTTTGACAACGAGGACATGGGCAAGGTGAGAGATCGGAGGGACGTTTCACTTCGTCAATGTTTTTGTGCTTTAAGTTCATATGTGTACGTAGTAGTGACATGTTTGTACCTCTGTTCTACTTTGTTGTCCTGTTTATCTTTGTCAACAACGTAAAAAAAAAAGGGGGTTGAATTCCTTGCTGTTCACACCGGCAAGTTTACGTGTGAACTCTGTATAATTTGTTGTGTGTGTGTGTGTGTTTAGCTGCTTGCTGAGCTTCTCCGGAGTAAAAATCCAGAAGACCTCCAGGAAGCCAACAGACTAATCAAGAACATGGTGAAAGAGGTAAACGCTGCGTGGTCGCTGCTCGCCGCTCGTAGGATTAAGCTCATTAAAGACGTCTAATGTTACAAGGCATCTGCTGCGCGTGACGATGTGTGGTGGACGGTAACGTTGTGTCTCCATGTTTGCGTCAGGACGAGGCCCGAGTGCACAAGGTCACCAAGCGTATTCACACGCTGGAGGAGGTGAACATCAACGTGAAGCTGCTGACGGAGATGCTGTCCCACTACGACAAAGACCGCTCCACCGACTCGGACAGGGACATCATCAAGGTGTGTGTGTCAAGAAGAAAATTGGTGAAAACACACTTTTCCCAGATGTAGAATTACTTTATTCACGAGAAAACTATTGCCATCGTTGAAATGACACCTCAGCTGCGCCTCCTTTTGTGTTTTCCTCCCAGGATCTCTATGAGCGATGCGACAAGCTGAGGCGTGCTGCTTTCAAAATGGCCACCGAGACGGAGGACAACGACACCAGTTTAGGTCCTCCCTCCCCCTCCGTTCTCGACGTCTCGGGCCGCTTCCTCGCGTGTAATCTGTGAACCTTTTGACTCCTCAGGGGACATCCTGCAGGCCAGCGACGACCTCTCCAGGGTCATCAACGCCTACAAGAAGATCGTAGAGGGGCAGCCCCTCAACGGGGACAGCGAGGAGCCCCGACCCTCGGCCGGTCGCAGTGAGAGCGGTGAGAGACCCCGTAGGGGGGCCCCGCGCCTTTTCTGTTTTTGTTGCATTTTGCCTAAATAAACGTCCCGATATCTTGCCGTTGTCCATCAGAGACCACGGACACGCTGATCGACCTCGCAGGCCTGGACACTCCGAGTCCCCCTCAGCCCGCCGCCCCTCCCTTCCAGTCCCTGAATCCCGTCTCCGCCGATCTCTCTGCGTCCCCCATCCCCGTCCTGCCTCCTCCGCCCAAACGCCTGGCCGGCTCCGACGGCAGCCAGAGCAGCAGCCCGATTCGCCCTCCCCTGGACAAGGCCTCCACTACATTGTCCCTCCTCGACGATGAGCTGCTGTGTCTGGGTACCGTATCCGCCATCGGGACTTACTGAGTTGAAGGAGCAGTCGGACATTTTGGGGTGACAAGCTTGTCTCGTGTCTCTCAAAATCCGCCCGCCAAGCGTCTTGAAGCTCGCTGAAAATGTGATATTGTGTTTGTTCAAAAATTGTTCTGGATTTTCTCTCTTTTGATAATACAACTGCCTGCATCTTCTTCCAGGACTCAACGACCCCCCCGCCTCTCTGAGCGGCCAATCAAAACCCAGGCTGAATGAGTTCACCAATCACTGGACTTCCTTGCAGGTACGACGGCAGCTCGCAGGTTCCCATGTAACAGGAGAGGGTGGTTATTACCTCCTCATCTCCTCTGCAGGCTGCAGGCGTGGACATGTTTGGCAGTGTCGCTCGTTCAGGTCCAGCTGTGCCTCCAGTTGTGCCTCCAGCTGTTCGCCCAGCTGTGCCTGCAGCGGAACCAGCTGCTGCCACCCACAGTCTCCAGGACCTGCAGGACCTGGCCATGATGGGCTTTTCTGATCACAAGAGGTACTCGGCCATCCACGGCCTCTCCGTCGGTGCTCTCTAACAATTTGACCGACGTTAAGCGCAGTTCCTTCCCACATAACCTCACTTATGATGCACGCTGTAGACATTTTGACTTGTTAAAGGGATTTATTTTAAAATAAATAAATACAATGTGCTTCTCAGCTCGTCCATCCAGAAGGCGGCCCGAGGAAGCGGCTTCGGGTTGCCTGCGGCAGCCCCTCCCCTCGTGCACGGCCACGGCTCTCCCTCCTCCCCCTCCTTCCTCCGCGGGGCGTTTCCCGGCTCCCCGGCTCTGTCCCACGCCAAGGCGCAGAGCCTGGGCTCCGCCCCGGGCAGCCCGCTCTTCCGCTCGCTGTCCCCCTGCGACCTCCCCCTCCAGGGCAGCCCGGCCAGGGCCACGGACTCCCTGAGCAACGTGCACGTCCCCCTGGAGGCCATCAGACCGAGTAACGGCGGGGAGGGACTTGTGGGCTGGACTTGTTGACAGGCGGGTGATTTGGGATGAATGATGTGCCCTTTCCTCCTCAGGTAAAGTGTTGCCCGTGACGGCCTACGACAAGGACGGCGTTCGCATGCTCCTCAACTTCGCCTCGGACTGCCCCCCCGGCAGGCCCGACGTGTTGGTGCTGGTGGTGTCCATGCTCAACACGGCGCCGCTGCTTGTTCACAACGTGGTCCTGCAAGCCGCAGTGCCAAAGGTGGAGACGCGTGTCCGGCGCGGAAAAAAACTGCAAATTCCTCCATTTTAACGAAGGTGTAAATGTACAGACTCCTTTCCTCCTCCACCAGTCAATGAAGGTGAAGCTGCTGCCTCCATCGGGTACAGAAGTGGCTCCGTTCAACCCCATCCTACCTCCCGCCTCCATCACCCAGATCATGTTGCTGGCCAACCCAACAAAGGTAGGCGACACAACAACACTTAAGGACGTGAATGCACAGCCACAGAGCTTTGATGAGGCTAAGAGATCTGTGTGTGTGTGTGTGTGTGTGTGTGTGTGTGTGTCCTCGCAGGAGAAGGTGCGTCTGCGCTATAAGCTGGCTTTCACACTAGGAGATCGTCTGTGCAACGAGGTCGGAGAGGTCGACCAGTTCCCCCCGCCAGAGCTATGGGGTCATCTATAGAGGCGCGCAGGCCTGCTGCCGCTCAGCAGGTACAGACCGGTTTGCTCTCCATGAAGGTGTGAAAGGTGACTCGACCGTACAGCTTCACCTTCCTTATAGTTGTTGATTCTTCTTTTTGGCCATTGTTATTACTGGCAGTGAGAAGCTGAAACTAAAGTAGTATTTATACGGTGCTTGTATACGTTTGTGAACAAATGAAAGAGAGACACTGTCGGGGAAGACAGCCGTAGTGTTTACAGGATGGCATTAAGATCAATATTAAAAGGGAGTTTGCCTAAAATGAATATTAACTATTTAATTGTGCTAAGATCAATATATTAGAGCAGTGGTTCTCAAATGGCGGAACGTGTACCCCTCTGGGTGCATGAGATTTAAAAAAAATTAAATTAGCATCCATTCAAACATAGTTATCTAATAAATGTTAATTGCAAGTTCATGAACTGAATTTTATATTCAATTCATTTTATTTTGTATAGCCCAAAATTGCCAATGGTTGTTGGTTCGCTCTGCTCATATCCTAAAAACCCAGAGTCTCCCCCATACCAGGATGGTTTGACCCCTCCTGGCACATACCCCCCTCCCTCCTCACCTGTCAATCAATGCTGCCTTGAAAGCTCAAACAAAGGAGTCGTGTTTGAAGCGCAGCATCCACGAGGGGTCACCCACCCAAAGTGTTGTTGTTTCAGTGTTAACAGACAGTGATGGCACGGCGCTGTGAATTTTCCTCCCAAAATGCTTTGCACTGCTTTGGGTGGGGGGGCATCTCTAAAAAAAAAAGGTTGAGAACCACTGCATTAGAGCTCAGCTTCTGAGAGGCGCGATGCAGCACAGAATGCTACACCTGAAGTTAGCAGAGCCGAAGGTCCAACAGCTGAGCTTTAGTGTCACGTGTTCCTCCGGCCGAGCACTTTCTTAGCCCACAGAAAATATACTTGAATATATCCAGATGTTTGAAAACGGGATGCAGCAGATGTCTTAAGATGGTGAGATAAACTGGAACATGTGTGTTTAGTAATAAGTACTATTAATTTGATGATTTAACATGGTTATAAATATACTTGTGATATGTGACAATATTTCGTTCTGTGAAATTTATGTTTGAGTCAAACTGTATTTCATGAGATTTCCTTCTAAAAAAAAATGAATGAGAAATGCGGGTGTTTGTGTTTAAGACTTGAGTTTTAGCAGCGGGCAATAGTTTGTTCTATAGATATCTACCCCTACCAGTGTTAATATTGGAAGTATTTTGGCTTATTTCCATTTAGTTATTGTATTTCAGTGCATCACTGAACCTGGGAAATGTGAACTCAACAAAATCTGGTTGCTCTAAAGGGAAATCTGTCCCCATGAAGTGTGTTCAGCATCATTCCTTAAGGCAGTCCAGCCAATCCTCCCGTAGCTCCCTTCTCTGGAAGCCCTCCGCTCATCAAATGGATGTACAGAAGAGGTGCCCTTACTGTACGTAGTGTGCAATGTACCTTTGGTGTGTGACGTGTAGCTGTTGGGAGACTTCTCTACGACGGGCCGTTTGTTCACTACATGGAAACAATAAATACTTTCAAATCGACGTCAGAGTTTTGTTTTTATAAACATAATGAAAAGAGTTTTATTATCAAATACCATATTTTGATTACTTGAACTTTATATACAATACAAAAATGTCAAAAGAGGAGCATTCCGTTCAACGTCATCATTCACGCTTCCACGGTTCCTTCCTTAATAATCGCCATGGCCAGATTCCGGGCCAGAGAGAGTCTCAGGAGCTCCACTTTGGTCAGCTCAATGTCTTCATCCTGAAATCAGAAATGCACTCGCATGAGAAGTGTGCCGGGGTGTGATATTACACCACCAAGTCTTACAAACTGAGCAATGCATCATGGGGGAAATGCTTTCTAATTCACCGTAGAGTGGAAAACACACCAGCTTTCATTTCCCTTCATTCAAACTGAAGCAGTAAATTTGACTAAATCAACCCAATATCAAAGACTTGTCAAGCGTTTTCACAGGAAACGAGCTTCTTCTCGTCAAACAACGACCATCATCGGAGCGTGAGGAGCTGCGTACCTGCGAGGTCTTCGGTGAGCCGAGCGCTGAGGCGTTCAGGCAGGAGGTGAGCTCCTCTAAACAGAACATCAGCTCGTGGGTTTGGTCTGCCGAGAAGATCACCTGAACATTCAAAACAACAAAAGCCACCTTTCAGCTGAAGGGAGACATTTTCCTCCCATTGTCCTGTGACTAGTAATTTAAAATGCATCATCAGGATGAGACGGGCGCGGTGACGGACCTCTTTCTGCTCCAGCAGCGGCAGGGCGTCGGTCAGCAGCGTCATCCAGAAGCTGCGGGGGGCGATCTTGGCCGTCATGAGCGAGAGGAGCAGCTTGGCCGCCTCGCCGAAGCGCTTCTCCCCGTACAGCTTGTGGAACTCCCGGTACTTCCCTGGAAGTAATGAAAACGGGCCCCCGTGTTTAAGTCAACGCCACCAAGCCGACGCGGACATCGATTACGCCCCCGCGGTTTCTGATAGTTTAGTCTCACATCAATGACTAAAAGGGGCTAAAAGTGAAGCTGTCCAGGGGACAATCTGCTGACTGAACGTCCCCTCACTTGATGAGTGACTTTAACTTGCCAGGTGAGAAGGTGTGCAGCGCTACAAAACGCTGTTTTACGTTGCTTGTTCATACCGAGGAAAGTGAGCCTGTCGCTGAGCAGCATTGCTGGACCCAAGTTGTCGATCAGGTCCAAATCGGAGAAGGTTCCTCTGGTGCAGTAATCCTGTAGAAACCTCACACACACAAACACACACACAATGTTAAAAACAAATTGGAAAGAAAATAACCTCATGCTTTAAGAAGTTTGACCTCAAATCACAAAAAAATAATTTTTCTGTTAAAGGCCTTTTGAGGCATAAACAGTGTTGACGGTCTCTCAGACGCTACGTGTTGTCCGGGTTACCAACCTCTCTGAAATGAGCGTGGCAAAGGCAGCGTCTTTGGCCCTGATGCTCCAGGAGAGAGCAGAGCCCAGTCTGTTATTCCGCAGGGCGCGCATAGCCATGATCTTGCAGATGCTGCGCACTGAATGGGGAACAGAAATGAACGCTTGGGAATAAACACACAGCTCTACAATTGTCTCCGTCCGAGTAAGAGAGGCGGGTATTGAGAAGGAAGCGCTACCTTGCTCGGACATCTGCCTCTGGTCACAGATCCTGAGCACCTTGAGGGCTTTGCGCTCGGTGTCTAAAGGAACCCGCTCGATCTGCAGCTCCAGGTAGACGTGGCCAAACTCTGGGCAGTGGTCAAAGTAATCCACTGCCAACTGCCACAGACTGCACACAAACACACATGACAACATGATCACACGGTTTCCAGTGTGCTGACACCGTCGAGGGCGTCCTCTAGTCTGTAAATTACAGTCTTAAGTAAGAATTAAAGCCTTGAATGAACATGTGATACTCTACTTCATTTCCCCACCGTGAGGATAATGTGCACACTTCAACAACCGCACCTGTGATGAGTAAAGAGACCAGAAGCGTATTCTAACAGGAGGAACTCTCTCAAATTGGAGCCAAAGCTGAAAAGATGCAAAAACAAGAACAACATGGTGGACGTTAGATGAATGAAGAGTGCTACCTGGTTATCTCCAGATTAAAAGAGACTTACTGCAGATTGTGAGACTGGAGGAGTTTGCAGTGATCCAACAGATCCGTCAAATGGGCCACAAACCACCAGTTGTTGAGAGCAATGCTGAAGAGATGTGTGGTGGAGAAATCAGGGGAAAAGTTTAAAACATGAACGTAGCTTGTATGTCCTTATATTTATAGACGGACGTAATTCTGCATGGTACCTGCAGTCTTTGATGACCTGATGAATGTCAAACTCAAAAGCAGCCAGTAAAATGTTGTCCAAAGGCTCTGGAACGCTCCTCGAGTCCAGAAACATGGTCAGGCATGACTGCGGCGCACACAGACACGCAAAGACAGAGTGTAAGTAACAGGAGTACACTTGAACGCCGAGTGGTGCAGCAGCAGTTGGTGTAGTGTACCTGTGCATAGTAATGTAACTCGGTGGGTTTGACTGTGGGGTGGCTGAAGAGCAGCCTAGTGACCAGGAAGTGGTACCAGGTGCTCAGCAGCTCCTTGTGCTCCAGCAACGTGTCTTCGTCCCCCGCTAGGATCTAAAATGCCAAAATGCAAAAGCCAGGGAAAAGGTGTTGGATTCATCTGACCGATGTTAATAATATATATATCTTTAAGATGACTTGCTATTGCTCACACTGCAGTTGTAATTAGAAATATTGATTTTTGTAAAAACGAGTCGACTGGGGGCTCCGACCTTGCAGATGATCTCCAGGTGTCGATTGCTGGCAAACGAGTTGTCCTGCAGGCAGCGGTTCACCTCGTCATGCCAGTGTCTCCACTTCACGTCAAACTCTGTCAGCGTCTGATTGCCACCAGGCTGATGGTCATCGGAGAGAGTTTAAATAAAAGAGTTTGAATAATGCAAAAGTCACCCGTTGTGGCAAGTAAGAATATAAAATACAGATATCCTTCTGCGAGAGGAACTACTGAAAGACAATCTTACATTGTAGAAGGGCATCCTGCTGAGCAAAGTGTCAATCAGCTTGTACATGCTCCTGGCAGCAGGCTGCAGGGCGGCCTGCTTCACCAGCATCTGCCTGGCTTCCTCCAACCTGCCCTGCAGCACATAACTCACCACCTGCACAGATAAAAAAAAAAAAACATTAGATTACGGGACTTCCACCCTCAAAATCAGGGTTCGGTCTGCAAGCAGCTTGTACAGTTTCAAAGACGTGAACGCCCGTGTGTTTGCGCGGCACCCACCACATCCCAGTAGTCGCGGTGCTCAGCAGGGCTCTCACTCTGCAGCACCTCTCTGGCCTTCTCATCCACATCAGCCTTGTGTAACCTTACCCAGTCTAGGAGGTGGAGCAACAGGGAACCCGCTGAGAACACACACACACACACACACACACACACACTATAAAATGTGTTGCAGACACAAAAGGAGATTACCACAAGCACAAAGTGAAACTGACCGGGTGCAGCATCAATGAAGAGCACTTCACACAGATTCCAGATCAGTTCTATGGCCAACAGAATGGAAACCTGAAGCACCAAAACAGAGGCTGAGATTAGGACCGTTTCAATGAAAACAATATAGCTATTAATTTCTCTTCTTTCTTAACCTAACCCTTTATTCATCCAACTACTGCAGCTAATAGCTCAGTGTATAAATGAATATATCTTGTTGTCATAAATCATATAAATAATTACATGATACTATATTGTCACAATACAATTCAACTGAATTGAATACATGTTTTCTTGGATGGCTGCTCAGCTCTACTCAAATTAATAAACAGATTGCATCCTGCGTGTGCGTTATGTCTACATGTCACATAAGGATGAAACATCTCAGTACATGCCTGGTTTCCATATTGCGTGGCTACTGCTGCTTCTTTCGTAGAAACTGCAGAAAAGAGAAAAAATAGAATTTAATTATTTACAATAAAAACCAAAACATTTAAATTATATTTTTTTAAATCAGACCTGCAACTTGCTGAAGCTCCTCCATACAGGCTCGTATCACAGATCTGTAATTTTTACTGATGCTGACAAATCTAAGGAGCAGAATAGAGACAAATTACTATATTTGATCTTTTCTGCAGGTGCTTATTCTGCCATTTAAAATGAGGGTTTATGTGAAAATCAAAATGAACATGCACCGAAACAGAGCGATCGCCTTACTGGTTTTTTTTGTTCTTGCTGGGGAGGTCCTCTCTAATTGTCTGCAGGCCAACAAAGATGTGATGAGACTCATTGAAGAGTTTGCGTAAAATGGGGGAATATATATCCTCATCTTTCCTGACTTCGTGGATGAAGGAACAGCCTGATCCTTTAGCGTCTGAAATGAAAGAACAGATGGCATAACAGAGAGGGATTAGAGGAGAGGGAGAGGACAGGAGAGAGTGAAAGCATCGAGGGGGGCTTGTATGAACGTCTGCACATACCTGACCCTTTGTAGAGAGTCTCGTACACAAGGATGTCCCCCGGACCCCATGCAAATCCCAAATGCTTCCCATCACTGGCTGCAGGAATATTCTGCATTCAAAAAAAGAGGGACTTTTACAGAAATGATCCATCCAAAACGGAGAGATTCAAATATAAAATCATACTGTGTTGTGCAACTCCTGGCAAGATAGCAACTTTGTTGAAAATTGAATAAAGACATAATGAAATGGATCGGTATTTTTTTTATTCAACTTTTTAGCAGTGATGCCAAATTTATAACTGTACTGACAGTCTACTCATAATTAAAATAGATGAATTTGCTCAGTTAACATTAGTTATCTAGATTACTTTCGAACTAACGTAACAGTTTATTCTTCCATTATTGTCAAATGTGTTCTTACTCCATTTATATATATATATATATATATATATATATATATATATATATATATATATATATACAAACACACACACACGTGTGTGTGTGTTTTAATATTGATGTATTAAGTGTCTGACACGCTTTATGGGACTTGAGTTCAACTCGCTTGATTTGAGTTTCAGTGATGTTGCTATGCGGTTAGCTAGTTAGCAACGCTATTCACTGGGAGAAGAGAGAGAAAGTTAAAGTACAGCGGCTACTTACTGTGACTGTCGGCTCCACATCTACCTCCTCCATCAGAGAACAATGCTAGTAACCCGATATAATATGAATGACCAACGATTCAGCTCTAAACACTTTACCACATGAACTACAGGTCCAGCGCTGCTTACGCGCCTCACTCATTCATTCGAAGGACCTGACGGCGCGGTAATGATGACGTCACCCAAGGACTGGCGATTCTCCTGCCTGCACAGGGTGTTTTTTCACGTCTGCTTCGCATCGGTCTTTATGTGTTTTTGTCATAGCCGTGGGCTGTACGCACGACATACGTGGCTCTAAAAATGCAAATGAATAAAGAAAACGAGCTAAATACACATAAAGCTTTGTGAGACGGGGTTCATATACAAGATAATTCATGGATTCTCAAAAAATGTTCTGAACATTTCAGAATGACTGAATGCTGATGAGAGGTCAGCGGTGCGAGGAGACGGATGTTGTGTGATAGTTGAATCTCTATTATGATGATACCAAAAGGAAAAACTAAGCTTTGCGCGTGCATGTGGCCCTGTCACGCGCATTGGGACTCTCCCGCCCATGCTCAGACCGCGCTTTCATCCTCGTGATTACCCGTGGCCATTCAACGCCCGGCATTGCGGACGTGCACAAACGCGTGACCGCGCACGCATGGTTCGAATATTTTATACGGGAACGGGTACGTGCGCGCACCCGTATTCTTTGTGTGGAAGCGTAGAGAAGCGCCAAAAGAGTGACCATGGCTGATGAAAAACCAAAGGTGAGTATCTTCAAATTGCATCAAAAATATAATTTTATTTCACCCGACCTGTTTCATAAAGGCTCATAGAAAATACCCTGCATGTTGTGTTTTACGTTGGTAAAGTTGAGAGCCAACGTGAAACTACTACTACTAGCGACACCTACTTTGATGGACCGGAAGGTTTGTGCACGCGCATGCAGAGGCGCGCAGATTGCTGTCTGCTTGATCTCCCGACCAGCGGGAGTCCTCCTCACAGGCTCAGGTCATTTACCTGATCTAACATAAAAAAATAATATTAATATTAATGGAGAGAAATATGCAGTTGTTGACTGCGACGCTCTAAACCAGAAATATTTGAAATCCAAGTTCATGCAAGCCGATCTCATTTTGTTGATGGAAAATCTGACTCATCAACTCTGGATCTCTTCATGGCCTTTTTAACAGTTTTTGTTCTTTTCTCTCTGACCATCAGGAATCAGTCAAGACAGAAAACAACGAACACATAAACCTGAAGGTAGCGGGTCAGGATGGATCTATAGTGCAGTTCAAGATCAAAAGACACACGCCGCTCATCAAACTCATGAAGGCCTACTGCGACAGACAGGTGGGTGTGGCCCAACATCTGCACACAACAACATCTGCAGCATGAGGCCGATTGGCGTTCTCCGGTTTGCACTCCGTTGTTTAAGATCTTTACTGAACGTTCGCTTGTTGCGATATTTAGCTCTGTATCAGCCGCTATGAAAATGCCACCTATCTCTCAAGTCCCTTTCCTTCATTATCAAGCTGTTTAGCTGTGAGGTCTTTATGTCAACCACCACTTGATTAAACGAGTCATTTCGAGTTAAAAACAAACAAACACTTGCCTCAAATGTATTTACTATGCCCACAAGGTTTAGCAGTCCTCTCTCGCTTTTTGTAATGAAAATGTGCAGCACCCCCATTTCTACTCACACCCACTTCCCATGTGTGTAGACGGTGTGGAGCAGGGCTCAGAAGAGCTTTGTTGCTTAGCTGCCTTCACATATGGGAGTCATTATTTGAATTGCTTCATAGTGTAAAGCCACCTACTGGAAGTACGCACATGTTTAATCTTGTTTAAAGACACAAAAGGCCGGCGTTCTAAATTGCGCAATCCGAACCTCAAGCAAACCGGTTGCCATGTCTGGGCAATTCACAAGTGTGTAACTGTTTTTATTTGACACAAAGACTTAAGTTGACTGCAGATGTTTAGGGTCAGAGTCGGGATGTTAGAGAAAGCATGGTTTGGTCCGACAGACAAGTCACATACAACCCGTTTATTGCAGTCTGTTGAAAGGTCAAACTTTAAATAAAAGCCCAAAGAGACTCACTAAAGAGCCATTCATCATAGTCGTCTTGTCCTCAAAGAGACATTGTCCGTGGTTTATTGGCTGTGATCCAATTCAAGCTCTATGACATGCGGCCGATGCAAAACCTCTCTCAATATATGAAGACAGCTTACCGCTCGCTCAAAAAATGTCTGTTACTTAAACTGCCCGAAAAGAGACATTTTGGTCATTCGAATCATTTTTAAACTGCAATATTCATTACTATTTTATTTCTCTTTAACTTGAGGAGACAATATAGCGAAATACGTTTACTGTCTTCAAACATCAGCGATTAATACAAATGTTATAAATATAATATCTATAAGGGCTCTGCTTGGGCTGAATGCATGCAAGTAACTATAAATTATATAAAATCATAAGGTTCCTCCCGTTTAGGTGTCAAAGTCTCCCTGAGTGAGACAGTGAACCTCAAGTTGCTCGCTGGGAAATATGTCAAATTGCGATTTTTTTTTCTTCCTAAATGTAACACACAATCCACAGATAATGATTATTTTGTGTGTGTTATGTGTTAGTAGAATTCATAATAGTATTGCTTACCAATGGGCGTGCTAACCCACCACTTAGCCTTAGTTAAAAACATCACTTTTGTGCATTAGTCTCCAGGTGAAATCTCTATTTTGATGGTGAATTAGTCATTGTTTGAGTTTACTCGTACAATCTTTGTAAAATGTCGCTCGTGTTTTTTAAATGTAATACACAGCAGCTGGCGTGAGAATCACTCACAATGTTGTTTCCCTTGAACATATGTGGTTCTTTTATGAACCATCCTTAATTCCCTTTGTTGCACTGTGAAACCTTCAAAGAGTTGGTTAAAGTCACCTGATCAGCACGATCTGATTTACAATTGCTGTAAAGCAATGGGAGTAACAAGAGTCTTTCATTAACATCATTCGTTTCATGCGTTTGTCTCTCCAGGGACTTTCAATGAGGCAAATCCGGTTCAGATTTGATGGGCAGCCAATAAATGAGACGGATACACCATCCCAGGTAAGTGTGAAGCTTTGAGACACCAAAACCTTCTTCAAATTGAAATGAAGTCATTATATGACATTATATCATACCTTAAACTGATTCAGACATGCATGCTGCATGCATGATGTTTCAATGGTACCGCAACAAACATACAACAAATTTAATCTTGAGTAGAGGCCGAGCTCGGCCTCAAGGCTAATAGTACATCCACATCTTAACACAACATGAGCACGTCCCCTCGCTCCCAATTCTCCTCTCACTTTACATGTTTTGCCTAATGTCAAGTCAATTTATCTAAATAAATAAACCAACTGGAAATAAAATGTAAGATTATTTCGAGGGTTAGCTGGGTTGGCGGGTCGAACCCCGGCTGCTTCCGTGTCCCTGAGCAGGACACTTAAGCCCTTACTGCTCCCCGGGCGCCTTTACGGCAGCACACTGCTCCCCGTGTGGGACGGGTTAAATGCAGAGAACAATTTCCTGTTTGTGTAAAATAATGCTCTGCAATAAAAATGTCTTCTTCTTCTTGATTTATCTTTTTGTTCCTCTTCACAGTTGGAAATGGAAGATGAAGATACAATTGACGTTTTTCAACAACAGACTGGAGGCCTCATTTAATCAACCGCATGCTTCGCTATTTTCCTTTCTAAACACCATCAACCTTCCCGGCCTGTGATAAACAGTGGGCCGCTTCTTCTCGTCTCAACAGATTTCTGTGCAGCAGAGTTGGTCGTCTCTCTGCACCACACACACAACTGCTGTAGTATTTTCATTATCGCCATAGTTGCTGTTCTGTTTTTTTTTGTAAACCACACCCAGGGTTTGTGACTGAGCCCTGAGACTTAACTGAGCGATTGTTGTTGGTCTAGGCTTGGTGAGGGTCCAGAATATCTCTGTTTTAAAATGCATTTTAATCCCTTGGGGAACAGTGTACCCAGTTTGGGAATGGGGCTACATTGTAATTTTATAAATGTTTATGAAATAGAGGATGTGTAAAGAAATGTGTCAAAGATAGTTTGACACATTTTGGGAAGCCTGAAGTGGTGTTTCAGTTATGCATCGGCGCTATTTTTCTTCCATAACGTCTCTTAGCTCAGACTTGTGGAAACCTAAAAAAATAAAAACCACATTTAGGAGTTTATTTTACTTCACTTTGTTTATTTGTGATTCCTCAAAAGTTAGCAAAAGCTAATGTCTCCTTTGCATATTTCAACTGAAACGTTTTACCCTATTCATCTGTATCGTCTTTAATATGTAAGGAATTTTACGATACATGTCTTTATTCTTTAAGTTATTTTTTTTCTCATGAAGTCAACCGTAAATCTCCACCTCAGGATCACTTACTGACCTCAAAGTCGCCACTTCCATTCCTATTGGTTTTCTACAGAGGGGTTTGTTCATATATCCTTCATAGCCGGATTTAAAGAACATTTTGTTCCTAAAAACAATGTATGTATGTGATGACAGTATTTTCTGATTTATAGAGTGATGCGAATCCAAATGCCCCTCAGTAAAAACTTTGAACACTTAACATGTCTACGAAATGAAACAAGATTTTTTTGATCCAATGTTCAAATTTCTGGAAATGTAAGGAAATGATACATATTTATTAAGATACTGCCTCATTTGCGTATAAAAAATGAATGTTGTGGAAAACTTGTAATACAAAGAAATGATTGCCTTAATATAAACAATCAACGGTTTTCTGATGATATTAGTCACACATTTTTACCTTATTAACCTGGGGTTTCTCCCCTTAAAGGCATATTTGTATTGTCTATTAAGATGCTTATTAGAATAAAGCTATTGTATTTTCGAGTCTTCCACTAATGTTGTCTTGCTTTCCAGTGTGGTTGCTGCATCCTCTGCTGGGAGGAAACGAACAAAAAGATAAATGTATAAAACAGACACGCCCGGTCCACATGACCCAGGAGAGTTTTTCTTTCCCCATGCATTGCAGTTTGACATAATTAGCTGATTTTTACGATCAATACTAATAGATTAGATACAAAAATGCCTCGGGGATGTGGACGCAACTGTCTGACGGCAGACGTGATGCCGAGAAGCTGCCACCAACAAGGAGAGGTTGATGGCAGAGGTTCTGTCCAATGAGAGATGAGTTATGTGGCGCCCCATCCAATCAGAGCGGGCCGAACGCCGGTGGGCTGGGCCTCCCTGGGCTGGCACCGCAGAACCAGCGGATCTGGTCGCCGTTGCGCTCTTCAGTGTCGGGTGGAGTCTACATCCCGTCGCTGCTCTGCGGGGAACGAGGAGGACTGACGGCCTTATTTTTTTTTCTTCTCCGTAGTTTCTCGTTGACCGTTACTCGCTGCCGAGGCGTCCACATACTTTGTGAAAGATGACGACGACAACCACCTATAAAGGAATGGAACCGGGCTCTAAAAGCAGTTCCAGGTAACAAATGTGAAGAGAAAACAGCTGAAAAAAAAACCTGTGCGCGGAGGAACAAAAGAAGCGTGATGCGGACGAGCCCCGCAGCTAGCAAACGCCTCCTCGCTGCGGCCGCCCGACGGCCGCCTGACGTCGGCCCGCCGGTCTGCTGGGTTTTAGCGAAACTGTCACGGAGTCTCGCTAATTGAGTTAATCTTATTGCCCGACGGGATGCTGGGTTTAGCTTACGCCAAGTTAGCCTGTCTGGGACCTTTTTTTGGTAGAAATGCGTAAACTAGACACGCGGGCTTGAGCGGGGAGGGGGAGGCACGGTGGGAGCCGCCGTTACCCAACCGTAACCCGCCTGGTTTTCACGCCAAATAACTTTTTGCGGTCGTTCGAGTCCCAGCTAGCTCCTCTCCTGCGGGGAAATGTGCTTTTCTTCGGAGTCGCTGGATGCTAATCGACCCAATCTGCTAACGCTGCATAGCAGTTTTTTTCCTCAATACAAGTAAAAATAAAAGTGTAACGTTTAAATCTCTCTGTACCCATAATGTGAAATAAGTGATAGCAGACGGAGTCGTTGATCGCCGGCATTGTTGGATTGGACGAGTGGAAGTTTGGGAGAAACTTGGATGCTCTCCATGTGTAGTTCATCCACGCCTCATCGTCTGGCGGACGAAATGTGTTAAATCCCTTCATTCGTGTTTGTGTGTGGGGGGGTTGCACTGTGAAAGGGCCACTCATCGCCCAGGCACGCAGCCTCGGGTCTCCAGTAAGTGATGCGTCTCGCCTGGTTGCACCCCGGCCCCCTTTTAGCTGTGGAAACGATGCGGAGGGGGCAGGAATGCATCTTTTAATTTACCGCTGTCTCGATAACGGGTCATGACTGTTTGACTAAAACTCCTGATTGTTAGTCTTTGCCCCTCGGTCGGCCTGTGCAGCGTGGTGCAGTCGCCCGCTGTGTTTTCGGATGATGTGGGGCCTTGGGTGGGGGCTCTGCGCCGGCTAAGCCTGTAAATCTTCCCTTAGCTCTTCCCGATTGCTCCTTTTTTATTCGTTTTTTTTTTGTTACGAGTCGCTGGTCCCTTCCGATGCTAGCTGACCTCCAAAGGGATCCGTGCGGCACATTCTTGGGCAGAATTAAGCTATAAAAAAAATAATCTTAGTAGGCCATCGAAAGCCTCCCAGCCGTCCTGATCAGGCAGAACCATCTCTGGGCCTTTTTTGGAGCTCAGCCACATCTGCCCCACATCTGCCCCAGCTCCACACCCTCTAAACCGTGCCGTTTCGTTGATATTATTTACAGTTTCATTCTAGGGTGGGGTCCGCTGCTAGGCACGGCTAAAAGCACCCCCCCCCCCCATTTCCAATCCCCCCCCCCAATCGCAATCCATGTGGAAAGCATGAGCTCACCCTCGGTGGGTGGGCAGGAGGTGGAGTCTGGTTTAGGCATTAATGTCACAGTCCCAACGAGTGTGTGTGTGTGTGTGTGTGTGTGTGTACGGGAATTGATTTTCTTCTCTAATGAAAAATTCACGCCGATGCAGTGGCTTTCTTTGTTGTCTTGCTTCGAGAGCCCAGTAGGCTGTGTGTGTGTGTGTTTTTTTGGACTCCCATCTGCCCTCCCTGGCCCTCGGACGGACAGCTGCTCGGCGTGTCAGCTGGTGGCTTCAGGGACTCTGAGGAGAGGAGAGTTTGCTGGAAATAAAGAGGGAGGGGCCGACACAAACGCACCCGTTTCCTCCGACCGTCCTTCAGCGCTGCGAGGAAAAGGCCGTTTCCTCACTCCTTATCGGGTCGCTTTTGTTCAGCTCGTGGTGGTAGGAATGTCGGTGGTCTGTTTGGCCCTCCGTGGCATCCACGCTGTTCTAGAACGGTCCGTGTATATTAGCAGTGGGCACATCAGACTTGTCACCTCTATTGCGTGATGTCGACCCAGAAGGGGCGTCACGCTTGATGTACTTGTTGAATAACGACACCGTAGTGCGACGCAGGAACCGCCGGCCACAACCCTTCCGTGTCACTGCAAAGGAATCTGCGGCGAGGAGAGTCAGCGGCCAGCCAGCTCCCCTCTTTGATTATATGTGACTGCAGTCAGCTGCAGGGCAGAGATTGTCCGTCTGACAGGCCGACAGCCGGGGCTTAGAGAGCGGAGACCTTGCTGGTAGCCGGAGCGTTTCTGTGTGTCTGGCATGTTTATGAAAGGGTTCGGGTGGTGTGCAGAAAGCTGCAAGAAGCTTGAGGCATCCTGATGTTATATTTTGACTATTTATTATTTTATTTTTTTTCAGCTGATGTGTGGCATGTGACATGAAGGCCTTGGGTTTTAGTTTGTACCACCATCTCCCACTATTTAGGACAATGTCATTTTAAATTTATATTGCTATGGCTTATTTGTTGCTCTGTAGGGTACTACGGCCGCCCGGTGGGACTTCCAGCATCTCCTTCGGCGCAGACGACAACTCAACTCCCCGCAAGGACAAGATGGCCTCCAACATCTTTGCAGAACCTGAAGATCCTCATGCTCATCGGAGGAACAATCCACCCAGTAACTCAGTCTAAGATCCCTTTCTTGCCGCATCTTGATTAAGTTTCCATGTGACCGTACCAAAGGGCTGAAACAACAGGGTTTAGATTCAAACACTTGTTTGAGTTTGGCACCAGGAATAAAACCATGGACTTAATTCTGCGTGTGGAAAAGCTACAAACTAGAGTGTTACCAAGTATTTTTTTTTTCCATTTGGGTTGTCAGAAAGAACATCCCACCAGTGAAACGGCCAATAGCTGCGGAGTACTGGGATAAGGGTAATTTGAAGCTAGGCTTTGTCGGATGGGGATGAGGATCAGCCCTCAACGGAAAGAACTAGGTCAGTTTAAAAATGTGTCAATTGGTGAAATGTGTGGCCTTTTATAGACACCACGGCCTTTTTTTATCTTGGGTACACGAGAAGAGGCGGACAGATGCAGCAGTAGGGAACGAAAAACCCGTCAATGGCAATTTAACTGATGTATAAAATGTCACGTCACTGCAAACATTCAGCCACTGAGGCATGATTGAAAAATGAACGCAGTCGGACACCTGGCAACCAGCGTGTTAATAGTCGTCTAGGTAACGCTTTTAGCCAAATTTCTTAGTTAATCTTAAGTATGCACCATCCTTATTGAATGGAATTAAGGCTTGAATATGTACCCGCCTACAGCCGGTGTGCAGAAAGAGGAACATTCGATCCCCCCCAGCACTTGGATCCCATTTCTGCTCGAGACTGTGAAGTTACTCACAAGCCAGCGGTCACATGCCTCCACACTGGTCACTCTGTGGGAAACTGTTTACATGGTGTATCATGTGCTCGGGACGTGTGGACAATGAAGAATTCACCCTAAAATCATTAGTTCAGCCTCTGACCTTTATGGACAGCAGCTGCTGACAGGAACGGCCTCTTCCTGCTCGCATTGTTTCGCTTGGGTCTAGGTCGAGTTCATGGGAGCCTTCTCATCGTTTTCCCACTTTAACGGATACAACTGGACGAGGATAATGGTTTCTGGCTGAATGAGTACCCTTTATTACTATAACCGCTTTTGAAAGCATTGTGCGATCTGTCTGGCCTCCCTGTGAACTCCTCGCGGAGATGACCAGGCCGTCCCCACTAGATCCGTTTTAAGCATGAAGACTGTCCTGCAGTACGTATCCAAGCTTTCAACATGGCGCAGCTGTTCGTCTAGTCTTTTTATAATCTGATATCACGCAACAACATTGGGTACACTAGCACAGCTAGGACGATGCTTTTTAGCATTTTATCTTACACTTACAACAGTACGCGTATGTGCGGAGCCACCTCCTACTTCCCTTTCACCAACTTATCATCTTAAATAGTCGTCCTCCTCCAAACCAAACTTGATCACTAAGAGCAAGTGTCATTCTTGTGATTTAACTTCATAATGCGCCCCTTATCTGGGAAAAGCTCACCCAGGTTTTTTTTTTAGGTTTTTTTTTTAATCTTCTGACGAGCGTTAAGTTTTCAGTGCCACTGTAGGAGTGTGCTGATGTCATGTTCATGCTGACATATAAGCCCAGTGTTGGCCACAGCCTTTGGCAGGTTGCTTGTCAGGATTTGAGGGTTTTCAGAAGCCAAAGCTGTTAGTCTGCTCGAGGCCCTCAGCGACATTCCGCCCGAGGATCATTGTGATCGGGGACCAGCAGCAGCATTCAAGCTCGTTAGTCCAACGAGGTTAGCGTCAACATGCATTTATGTCTCAGACCCGGGTGATCCATAAAGTTTAAGTGGACGGATGTGTGTTGCAGCGATGATTAATTAATGCATCCGTCCAGTGAATCCGGCTCAATCGTCTGCCGTTTGATGTGACTCATAAATGTGGAGCCAGAGATGAACGAGGTCTTGTTGAGCAACTGAGGCTCTCAGCAGTGCTGATTCAC